GGGGAAGGGGGCACTGTCACCTGTCACTGAGGGGCCCATGGCTGGGGGAATGGGGCATTGTCACCTGGTCACTGAGGGACCCATGGCTGGGGGAATGGGGCACTGTCACCTGGTCACCGAGGGGCCCATGGCTGGGGGAACAGGGGCACTGTCACCTCGTGACACAAGGTACCTGGAAAACCCAGCTCTGAGCCTTGGTCCCTGAGTCTGGAGAGGGGTCCTCCGTTCAGTCCTGGACAGCCCTGAATCAGGGAGCACTGCAGCTGGTCACCCTCCTGCACTGGGCCAGCCGAGGACGCAGACGCCCAGAGCCTGCTCCCGAGACCTGGCTCCCTTCTGCAGGAAGCAGGCAGTAACCCCTGATGGACAGAATCTGGAGCAGGCCCGCGGGCGGCCTTCCCAGGAGGGTGGGGTCGGCTGGGCCTGGTCCCAGCAGAGGCGTCTGTCTGGGTCCTTCTCTGGCAGGCAGAAGGGCAAAGGCCGCACCCACCTTGCGGGAGTATTCAGAGGGTTAAAGGAGGTACCACCTGGGGCTCAGCAGATCCTGCCGCGTTAGAGGAGCCTGGCCACCGCGGGCCTCCGGCACAGCCATGCCATGGTGTCTGGAGGGGACAGCACCAGGACAGGAGGGCGGAGACATCACACTTCTGAACAAGGCAAAGGCCCGGCGTCATGCCACCCTGGAGGCCACAGAAGGCCAGGCGCTGGGTTCCCTGTGACCTGGGTGGACGCTGCGGGGTCTACCTGAGCCCGGGACAGGCCCGACGCAGGGTCGGGTGTTACCCTGGTGGCTCTCGTCATGGAGGCTCAGTGAAGCCCACACATGGAGCTCGACCCCAGTCAGCACCGGGTGGGCGCTCAGCACTGCTCGCCCCTGGACGGACCGCGGCTGGCACCTACGTGACCTGTGGCTGCCACCCAGCACAGACACGAGACAGGCATCGCTGGGCGCCACAGAGGGTCCACTGTGCACCGACGATGGAGAGGCCACTTGACGGTGAGTTTGTTGGTCATCGTGGTCACATGCCACAGCGAGGCTCGTTCTGACATGGCCACGTCTGCATCCCGCAGCTGCCCGGCTCTGATCCCAGCCCTCCTCTCGGGGAGACCCCTCCCAGAAGGCTCTGCCAGTTCCCAAGCAAGTCCACGGAACCCGAGCTCCCTAAGGTATCTGGGCCAGCCAAAGAAGCCTGTGGTCACCGCGGAACACGCCCCATGAGGAGAGTATCGAAGTCAGCCACCAAGTCCTGCAGAAGGGAACCTATTAAAATTCTTTTATTTTTTTAATCTGGGAAAGATTATTTTTCCAGTTTTGTTTTGTTTTGTTTTGTTTTTTTGTACCTGGGATTGAACTCAGGGGCACTTAACCCCCGAGCCACACCTCCAGCCCTTCCTTTATATTTTATTTAAAGACAGGATCTTGCTGAGTTGCTCAGGGTCTCACTAAATTGCTGAGGCTAGCTTTGAACTCAAGATCCTCCCGCCTCAGCCTCCCAAGCCACTGGGATTCTGGGCAGGCGCCACCACCCACTTATTATTCAGGCTTTATTGAGGTTGAATGGGAAAATGAGCACTGCTATGTTCCAGGCACGCAGCTTGACAAGCTGATGTATGTGCATGTTGTGGAATGACCGCCAGTCAAGTTCATTGACATGCCCCCCACCACGTGTGTGCGTGCACCCCTGTGTGTGCGTGCCCGTGACCGAGTGTGCCGAGAGTGTTATGACAAGGGTCCCCGCCATATGCCAGGTCTGTGGAGTGCTGTACCTTCTGTCCTAAGTACGCACACTGCCAGATCTCTCGCTCCCTGGAAACCCCGCTACCCTCTGCCCTCTGCCCTCTGTTCTGTGGCAGGCTTTGGGTTCCCTGCAGGCGTCCTGTGTGCCTTTCTCCCCGTGGCTTGCCCTGGTGCTGCAGAAGGTGGCCCCTGACCCCACCCAGGCACGGTCCAAGTGACCTGACCCCAACAGAGCCTTTGAGCCTGCTTACTGACGTCGGTCTGAAGAGCCCAGTCGCACTGTGTCACTGAGCAACCTAGATGACTTGGTGAGGTGACCTTTGTTTTCCAGACTTGGGCTCAGAAAACATAAGGCTCCTTGCCCAGACCACGCAGCTGCCATCGGCAGAGCTGGGACTCAGGCTGTCTCGGACCCCAGCCAGGAGTGGTCGGAGATGACCAGTATGCACAACTCTCAAAACCACTGCAAAAAACCAAAACAACAAAACACCAGGCCGCAGCGACCCCGCAGGGCTGAAGGCTCCTCTCAGAGCCCCTTCTCCCCTCTTTCTCCTCTCTACATCCAGTGACAAAGTCGCCCACAGGTCCACAGCCCAACAACCTGCAAACCTGGCTCAGCTCCGGACACCCTCGGAGGCCATGAAGGTCTTTCCTGCACTCCTGGCCGCCGCCCGCCACCTCCGCCCTGTTCTGAGCAAGGTCCCCCACCACGAACCCCTGCGGCTGGCTTGTCTTGCTTCCTGGTGTGCCTTGGAGACACTTGGTTCTCAACGCTAACAACCCACGTCACCCTTCCAGGCCCAGGGTTTCCTGCAGGGGAGTGGACCACAGCTGCCCCTCTGTCCTCATCAACGGCGTCCCCCGTGCCAGGGTTGCAACTGCTGCTCAAGGGGCTTCCCGAGAGCCGGTGCGACCCTGGCTGAGTGCCCCCCAGTGTGGACTGCATGTTTTACTTCTCTTTTTCAAAGATTTCAAGTTGCAGATAGACACAATCTCTTCACTTTGTCTATTTTTACGTGGTGCTGAGGAGCCAACTCAGTGCTCACACACACTGGGCAGGCGCTCCGCCCGGAGCCCAGCCCCGCCCCTGCAGGCCCCCAGGCAGGTGGTGGAGCTGGCCTGCCCACCAGGCAGCAGGAGGGCACGGTTCCCTCACACCCGCCAGCATCAGGCGTCAAGTGGTGCACATGGAAGGCCTCAGCACGGCCCAGAGGTGACTCCAGCTGCCTGGAAGGAGGGGAACAGAGGACGGGCGTGAGCTGGCACGTGGCTCAGTGTGAGCCCCAGCAGCATGGCGGAAACCAGGAAGGGAGGGCCAGCTCCCCACTGGCTGCAGAGAGGCAGATAATGAGTGTGTATCCCGCCGTCTCCAGGGAGGAAGGACAGCCCCAGGTCCCCAGCGGAGGTGGATATCTCCCAGAGACTGCCTCCTGCCAGCCTGGGCTGTGTGTGGCTGCAGGTGAGAGCTCACGTCGGGTCCTGGGGAGCAGCACTCAGATGGGTGGCCCTGCCTAGGACCTCACTGCAGGTGGGAGGTGTGGACGCCCTGCCCTGCACGTGGCAGAGCTCCTCCAGCTTCCACTTCCTTCCACCTCTTAGCCAGAGCCACGGGGGGACGCTGGAGGGCAGAGGGGAGACTGCTGGGCAAGTGGACAGAGACCCCCCCTCTGGGCTTCACATTTCTGATCTGAAAATAAGAATATCAGTGGATCTCCAGGAAACTGATACCCCGTAGCTCTAAAGCAAGCCTGTCCTTCCTCTGCCCTTCTCCTCTCCTCTCCCCCTGCTTTCCTTCCCCACCCCTTCTCCTTCCCATCCTTCTCTTCCCGTTCTCAGTGTGGAGCACGGGCCGGGCACACGCCTTCTCTCTCACCACCATCTACTTTAGAAGGTAAGTCAAGCCTAGATCTATCCACAAAGGCTTCCCACGCAGCCTTCTTTATATCTGGACAAACACTGACCGCGACTCCCTCACCTGCCGGTGGTGATGGTGGTGACAGGCGCTGGTCAAGGGCTTGTCCTGTGCCAGGCCGGTCACCTCCGCACGCTCCAAGGTGGAAGCTCCTCAGCTGACTCTCACAGAGGCTCGGTGAGGTAGAACTGGGCTGTGTGTCCCTCGCCAAAACACAGGACATGCCCAGCCGCCTTCATTGACAGGGAAACGCTCCGTGCGTGCAAAGAGAGAAGGATGCGAGACGAACCCGCTGAGGTTCCGCGTGTGCCTGAGCTGCCTGAGGCGAGGGCGCTCCAGGTGAGCCTCCTGAGCTCCACTTAACGGCGTCCAGGAGTCTGGTCGGGAACATGGTGGCCAGGGCCGACACCGGGAAGGGGTGCGCCACCTGTGAGCCCGTCACCGTGTTGGATCCTGGGGCTGGGGCTGATGGATCCCTTGCTATTTTGTAAACACCCCTGTTATCTCAAGCGGGCTCTGAACTTCTCACCGAGTTAAATGTGGTCAGCACTCAGTTCCTAGCCGTTTCCAGAGCCCGGTGCAGAAGGGCTTTCACACTGAGCAGCCCTCCAATCCCCAGAACCCACTCGACCTTGCAAAGCACCGAAACTCTGTCCCCATTAAACGTCAAACCCCCACCCAGGCCTGGCCACTGCCATCTGCTCTCATCCTCTAGGACTGTCCATTCTCAGGACCTTGTGCAAGTGGACAACTATCTTACAGCGAGGTGGCGAGGGACTCATTCCTCCTGTCCTGTCTGGATTCTAGCAAATTTTCTAGAAGCAAAATAAATGGCCACATACAAAATTTTAAATGTTCCAAGGATACGTGAGGATGGACGTCCCTGGCCTCTCTAACCCCAGTGAAACGCTCGGAGGCGGCCACTGGGAGTGGACTCCCGAGGGACATTCCAGAAACACCATGGCGTATCCACGGAAGACACTGTAGGGCTGCTCTCCAGGTTCTGCTCCTGCTCCTGGGCACCCAGCGGTTTCCGCCCATGGCTGCGACAGTAAGAACGTGTCCTAGCGCACTGGCCCAGTCCCCAGCCGCCCTCACTCTTGGGCCTGGGTGCACTGACCTGGCGGTGGGACTCATCTCTGGAGGGGGACCACACAGGACAGACAGCTCCTGAGGCCCTCGTGTGGCAGACACTGCCGGTGGCCTTGGAAGAGCTCCTTCCCGTCCACCCCACTGTGGGTGGGGGTGGGACGATCTCTGAGGCCATCCTTGCAGCTGGGGGGAGCGGCCCTGGGTCAGTCAGCTTGAGAGCGACGGTGTGGGGTGTTGGACTGGCCATGGCTCCAGAGTTGCAGAAGAGCCCCACTGGGCTCCTGCGGCAGTGCAGGTAGAGGTGGCATGAAGTCCCCCGGGTCACAGCAGGAGGGGGCTCCTGTGGCGTTGCGGGTAGAGGTGGCATGAAGTCCCCAGGATCACAGCAGGAGGGGGCTCCTGCGGCAGTGCGGGTAGAGGTGACATGAAGTCCCCCGGGTCACAGCAGGAGGGGGCTCCTGCAGCAGTGCAGGTAGAGGTGGCATGAAGTCCCCCAGGTCACAGCAGGAGGGGGCTCCTGTGGCATTGCAGGTAGAGGTGGCATGAAGTCCCCAAGGTCACAGCAGGAGGGGGCACTGGGGTGTTCATCTGAACTGTTAGGGGCAATGGCTACTGCCGAGCTCTTACCTTGTACCCGGCACTGTCCTCCTGCCCCCCTGACACGTAGTGAACCTGTGTGGGGCCTTAGTGGGGTATAAACACAGTTTCCTCAAAAACTTAAAATTCACTGTAAACCCAGCGCTGTGCTGGACACGACCTGGTCAGGCCTCTCCGTCTGCGGTGGGGGTGACCTCGAGGCCGAGACTTCCTTGGGTGCCGCTGACTGGAGTCTGAGATGCACCTCACTGGGTCCCCACAGGCTGGGGGTCGGGTCCATAGGTGCCTTATCATCAGGGGTGATTGGCAAGTAAAACCGGGGGCAGATAAGGTGTGCAGCTCGACCTTGGGCACACGTCAGGTCGTGGAACGAGTACTCCCCTCGCTCTCGTGGATCCATCCCTCCCAAACGTCCAGCCTTCTAGCAAGTCTGCGGGGAGAACTCTAACTGCAGTCATCTGGCTGGGCCCGTTCGCTCTGTTCTAAAGAAAGATGTCCCAGCCTCTCCACAGTGACCGTGTCAGAGAGCCAAAGGCCTCCACTTGTTCACTGGTGGGTCCAGGGAAGGGTGGGTCCCAGGTTGAACCCCCTCTGTCTGAGCTCTGCCCACAGTCCCTGGTTCAGGGCAGTGGAGGACAGCCCCTTCCTGGTAAGAGCAGACACGGACACTCTGCAGGAGCATCCCACACGGGTACTGAAGGAGGTGAGCTCGGGGTTTGCTCCGTGTGGTTTGGGCAAATGAGACGGGCGTGGGAGGCGGCTGCGCTCATCCATCAGCTGCTCACGGGTCTCTGCTGACCTAGGGCTTCTCCTGTTGAGTCCACGCCTTCCGCTCTCCATTCACTTGGGCAGATTCACCGACCGTCTCTGTGCCTCGGTTCTGCCAAGTGGGAGCTGGGGTTGGTGAGGACAGACATCACCCCATTGCCCCGTGTCTGGGGGAGTCTCCCTGGGGGAGACGGAGCCCAGCCTTGTGCTTGCCAGGCAGGGGCTCTACCCTGAGCCGGTCCTTGGGGGAGACATTCTTGTGTCCGTTTACGGAAGAGGAAAGGAGGAGCAGTCGGCACTGCCTCTCTGGTAGGCTCACCCAAGCCAGACAGAAAACAACACTGAGTGCCAGATGGGCCTCCTCACACAGGCTGGCCCTGACCCCTCCCTGGTCCAGGGTCTTCTCCCGTGGGCTCCCGCTCACAAGTGCAGCCCTGCCCTCCTCTCCCCTGCCTCAGCCCCAGCCTGAACACCCCAAGTCCTTCCATCTCAGAAAATGGCTCCATCCCCTCCCTTGGCCAGAGCCCTAGGACTTACCCTTCACCCTCATGTCTGCTCCATGGCCATGCCCAGGGACACCACCTCCAGGACTTATCCCGACAGTGGGCACACCCTCACTGAAACACCCACCAGGACAGTCCAGCCACCAGCATCCCTCATGCACAGGACTCCCAAGGCAGCCCCCTGCCTTCCCTCCCTGCGCCCACACTTGGCCCTGGACACTCCTCTGTGGAGAACCCTCATCACCCAGCAGAGTTTTGGAAACAGAAGAAATGCTCAATCAACAGAGGTTGAATAAACGAGAGCAGCCGGAAGCTTTCACAAGAGCTGAGCACTGTAGGTCCCTGGGGAAGCGGTGCACACTCTTCAGCTGGTCTTCAACCAGCAGGAGTCCCCAAAGCATGTGCACGAGCACCCCGCAACGGAGCCGCCAGGCTGGGCCACCATGGTCATGTCCTGGTGCCCAGGGAGCTGCGGTCACCTGTGTGTTTTCCACCAGGCACTCAGCCATTTCACTCTAGGGTTGAGGCCAGCCAGAACAGAAGCAGGAGGCCCTTGCAGGAAGGGTGCTGGTGGCCTAGGCCAGGGAGTTGCTGTGGAGCAGGATGGAGCAGACCCCCACAGCGTGCAGAGGGTTCCTCACCACACCCTCAGCTTCAGAAGGGAGTCTGAATCTGGGAGACGAGAGGCCGGAACGTCTTCCCTGGGGTTCACCGCTGTGCCACTCAGGACAGTCACTCAGGAGTGCCAGTTCCTCTTGGCCATGAGCTCACCCCAGTGCTCTCTGCACCTGATGGTGTTCACCTGCAGTCTCAAACGGCTTCTTTCACTGTGGAACCCACCTGCAGATGAGGAGCTCCATCAGCTTGCTGGCTTGCAGCTTCACGGGACCCAGTAGTCAACCCAACATCAAGCGTCTTTACCACGCTGTGTAGACAGTCACGATCCTGGGCTGGGTGGAGAAGGGAGAGCAGGGTGCCAGAGCTGGGGAGAGGGGGCGGAGCCAGCAGGAGGCAGGGCCCAGTGAGAGGGTGTCGGGACCTATAAGAAGAATGTGCCCCGGAGGGGAGAGCAAGTGGGAACATAGCTCTCCGCGGCTCCCTCTCCATCCAGAACCCCGGCTCGGTGCCTGCCACAGCGCCTGGGAGCCCGGAGAAGTCAACGGTGCAGCCTGGTGGGTGGGCAGGTCCCAGGACACTAACAGATGAAAGGCTCCCTCCTGACTGGAGAGGAGGGGACAGCAGGGCAGAGGCCCTGAGGTGGGGGCCTAAGCTCCCGGACCAGAGTCCAGAAAAGCAGGCAGGGCCAGGCCAGCTCACAGGACCTCTGACTTCCTCCCTGGCTCCTGCGCACCACGGGTCTGATTTGCCCTGGGCCGAGACCCCAGGGGCTCTGCGCCCAGGACGCATGCGCAGCAGGCGCAGCCTCACGGGCACCTTCTCCATCCTCTCCCCTCCCAGGCTTCCTCAGCCGGCCTCGTGCACTCTACAGCTGGCCCATGCCCGTGGCCCGCACTCCCCCGGGCGGCCCCGCAGCCCTGGCCTGGGCCAACCAGAGCGGAGCGCGCGACTTCGTGCTGCTGGGCTTCGCGCACGTGCCCAGGCTGCGCCCGCTGCTCACCGCACTCTTCCTGGCGCTCTTCCTGCTGGCGCTGCTGGGCAACACGCTCATCGCGCTGCTGCCCGGCCTGGACCCCGCCCTGCGCGCGCCCATGTACTTCTTCCTGCGCCAGCTGGCCCTGGTGGAGCTCTGCTTCTCGCTGGACGTGGCGCCGCGCCTGCTGCTGACCCTGCTGCGGCCCGGGCGTGGCGTGTCCCCCGCGGCCTGCGCCCTGCAGCTCGTGCTGTCGTGCGTCACGTCCGAGTGCTTCCTGCTGACCGCCATGGCCTGGGACCGCTTCGTGGCCATCTGCAGGCCGCTGCACTATGGCGCCCTGGTGAGCCTCAGGCGCTGCCGCCTGCTGGCCACTGCCTGCTGGCTGGCGGGAGTCCCCGTGGCGCTGGTCTTCACCGCCTGGCTGTTCAGCTTCCCCTTCTGCGGGCCGCGTGGCATCCGCCACTTCTTCTGTGACATCGCCCCTCTGCTCAGCCTGGTGTGCGCAGACACCAGGGTCTTCGAGGCCAACGTGTTGGCGGCCACGGTGCTGGTCATCATCATTCCCTTCTGCCTGATTGCCACATCCTACGCCAGGATTCTGCCCACTGTCCTGCGGATGCCGTCGGCCTCAGGACGCCTCAAGGCGCTGTCCACCTGCGCGTCCCACCTCATCGTGGTGATTCTGTTCTATGGCACCACGGGGGTCATCCATTTGCGCCCCAAGGCCAGCTACTCTCCTGAGAGCAAGCAGGTGGTGTCCCTGTCCTACACCCTGGTGACCCCCATGCTCAACCCGCTCATCTACAGCCTTCGGAACAAGGAGGTGAAGGCTGCCCTGGGGCGCCTGTGTGGTCAGAGAAGAGGTCCCCACTTTCCATGACCTGTCTCTGATTCCCAGCCGTTTTGGCCGGCTCCTGCCCTCGTAGTCCTTAGTGAGGTCACTGTGCACCAGAACTCTGCCTTCTCCTGGGGCTCCCCAGTGGCCCTGAACCCACATCCTCCCTGCGGCTCCAAGCACTCAGCACCCAGGGCTCAACGATGGACCGTGGGCTGGACCCAAGTTGAAAAGCATGGAGATGGTGTGTTGGAGGTGGAAGCCCTGCTGCCACGCCTGCTCTAGTGAGAGTCTCCCTCTCTCTCTCTCCCTCTCTCTCTCTCTCTCTCTCACACACACACACACACACACACACACACACAACCTGCCATTAAACTTGAACTTCGGGTAAATGAGAAATTGGCTTGGGTATCAGTGGATCTCACTTTCGTTCACCTGAAGTCAGCCCTACATGGAGGTGGTATCTGCTTCCCATGCCATCCCTGTGTGACATCTGTCATCCCACAGTTTTGGAGGTCCGGACTCTAACCTGGGTCTCACTGGGCTAAGATCCAGGTGTGGCAGGGCTGGCCCCCCTCTCGAGACCCCAGAAGAATCCTCCTGTGATCCTCCAAGCCTCATTTGGAAGTTGAGTCCTCCCGTGCCAGTCCGCCTCTCCTGCCTGCCTCTCCCGTGCAGAGGACCTTGATTGACATCAGGCCCACCCACATAACCCAGGCCCTTAACTTGGTCACACTGCAAAGTCCTTTTTGCTGTGTGGAGCCCAGGCTGAGGCCGTGGGTATCAGCCCTGGTACGTCTCGAGGGGATTGTTGTGGTCCCTACTGTCCCACCCTTTAGGGCCCGCCTTGAACAGAACCCACCGGAGGAATCTGGGAGGAGCCCTTTCCATGCCGTGCTTGGGAGTGGACCAGCGGTACCTGGGCTGTGGGCATTGCAGGTGTCCACCCCACACTCCTACAGTTATGCTTGAGAGCTTTGGGCCCTCTCTCATGGTCTTGCTGACAGGAATTGTCACCAGCGTCAGTGGGGGACTGGGCTGGTCCAGGGCCACCTGCAGAGCCATCCTGCAAGACCTATCTGTGAGAATCTCATTTTTTTTGGGGGGGGGCAACAAAATCCAGTTTCTTCCCCAATTTCCATGAACTTGGGATTAGGGACAAAACTGCTGCTACCTTCTTGCCCCCTGTAGTCTGAGAACAGGACTGTCTCACAATAAGTGACCCACGAAGAGAGAAGTCCGGCCCTGTGGCCCATGCTGAGTTCCTAGCCTAGTGACAGGAGCCTGTACATTTGGATTTTTTTGACCACGAGGTCTGGCCAGTTCACGTGCGTGTGTCCTTCCTCTGAGTCTGCAGTCCCTCACGTTCCTGATCCTAGGGTGTGTCATCTGTTCCCTGTGGCCAGAGTCTCACCTCCTTCCCTGTTGCTCTATGGTTTTGCTGACATGAATTGTCACCAGCGTCCTGAGCATGGAGCTCAGTGTGCACCCGAGGTTCTGGTCACAGAAGAGGCACTGTGGACTCACAGCAGGAAACGGTAACTACGCTGTGGGCTGGGCTGGGCGCGGCTGGGCGCGGCTCTGTCTGCTGCTCCACGTTCTCCATGTCACATCACTCCAGTTGTTCCCCATGCCTGTCTGCACCCCCGGCCGAGTTAGAGCCACGTCCACCGTCCTCCTCTCCGGCTGTCTCCACTGCAGGCCTCCCCACCTGCCCCCCCACCTCTGCTGGGTGGTGTGGGCAGAACTGCGTCCATTCCTAAGTCCTACGTCACAGTCCCGGCCCCCCGAGTCGCCGGACGTGACCCTGCTTGGAGATAGGGCCCTTGAAGAGCTGGTTTAGTTAAACTGGGTCCCCGAGGGCGAGTCCTGTCCCGTATGAGTGGTGTCCTTGGAGACTGGTGGCCGACACACCCATCGGCCCTTGGCACCTGTGGGTTCTGCGTCTGCGGATTCCACTGTGGGCTGGACATCCTGGAGGGAGGCGCAGCCAGCCCTGGCCACGCACGTGCTTGCTTCTCTGGCTATCGACCCCCAACACCGAGTAAGAGCTCCTGACGCAGCGGGCACCTCGGCTCCCACCAGCCGCCCACAGACCACGGCCTCCCCCAGGAGGCACATGGGTGGCAGGCAGACCGGAGGCCACAGCACCCAGGGCTTGAGCACCTGCAGATGGGTGCCCTCTGGGGCCTGGTACAGAGGCCAGCGGCGGGAGGACAGAGGGATGGCCACCGCACACAGAGGGAGAAGCTCAGGAAGAGCCAGACGGCCAGCCTCCATCTTGAACTTGTGTCCCTAGGCCCCAGCAGGCCTGTCACTCACGCCACCCGGCAACACACCTGTTATCTCCTGCTGCCCCGGGCCCAACCCGCCGCCCACGGCCCCTCATGCCCTGTGCCTGGTGGGAGGAGCTGCTCTCACAGGTTCAGCTGGGTGGCCTGCCCAGAGCCACGCCTGGCACTTGATCTTCAGGGGCCATTTCTGTGTCTCTTCCTCCCGACTCCCTCTCTTTCTCCCTCTCC